TAAGTATGTCTTTCAACCATCTCCAAATTTTGCTCCAGTATCTTTTTGCTTCGGGGCATGTCCACCACATATGAAAGAAGGTACCCTGACCATGGCCACATTTCCAACAATTTGGGTGCACATTGGGGAACATCTTTGCTAATCTTGCAGGTGCTAAATGCCACCTATGGAGCATTTTATAATGGTTTTCCTTGTACGTGGCTGCTCTAGTTAATTTATAGTTTTTATTCCACGCCTCTTCCCATTCATTAAAGTTCAAGCTGTGCCCAATGTTTCTCTCCCATGCTCTCAATTGGTTTCTGATTGTATCCTCATCTCTGTCTTCATCTAATAAGTAATTATATAGCTTGGCCAATGCTTTTTTTCCTGGTCCCATCAAAATTTTGTCTAATCCGTTGTATCCTAATTCTAAGCCATACTCATCCTTATCTTTCTGGTATCTTGATTTTATTTGCAGGTAAGTCCACCAATCTAAGGTTATACCTTGGTCTCTCAGGGCATCATTTGATTTAAGGTTTCCCCCTCCGTCGATGATGTCTTTGTATCTGCACAGTTTCTCCATTCCCCACCTGTTGGGGTAAATCAATGCCTCTACCGTGGAGAGCCAATTTGGGACTTTTGTATAATATCTCTGCCTAATCTCCGCCCACGTTTGTATTAGGGAGTCCCTGATTTTATGCCTGTGGAAGTAGGTTTTCTTTTTCTTGTCTTTGTCCCATAGATACGCATGCCACCCTCTCTGTAAATCATGGCCTTCTAACATTAGGATTCTCTTGTTCTCCAAAGTGATCCATTCCCTTATCCATATCAACTTTGCTGCTCTGTAATACATTTCCCAATTCGGGAGTCCAAATCCTCCCACATTCCTTTTTTCCTGTAGGATTTTGAGTGAGATCCTCGATTTTTTTCCCTCCCAAACAAATTCCCTAATGATCTTATTTAATTCTAGAAAAAAAAATTTCTCTAAAATCACTGGTAAATTTTGATATAGAAATAGGATCTTGGGGAGGATGTTCATCTTAATTGCTGCAATTTTGCCTATAAGTGACAATTTAATCTTTTTCCATCTATCCAAATCTTGTTTTAATTTATTAATTAATGGAGTATAATTATCTTCTTTTAGAGATGAACACCTTTTGGTTAGCCAGATTCCTAAGTATTTTATTTTTAGGACAACCTGTAGGCCCAAAGTTCCTTCTATCTCTTTCTTCTGCGTCTCAGTTACATTCTTAGTTAGTATTTTGGTTTTAGATTTGTTCAATTTAAAGCCAGCCACCTCTCCATATTTACCCAATTCCTCTAATACTTTTTGTCCAGATATTAATGGGTCTTCTAGTATTAGCGCCACGTCATCCGCAAAGGCTTGCGTTTTATAAATCTCTTTTCTAATTTTTAGGCCTTTGATTTCCTCGTTATTTCTAATCTTTCGTAGCAAAACTTCTAGAGCCAGAATGAATAATAGCGGTGACAGGGGGCAGCCCTGCCTTACTCCCTTCTTGATTTGGAATGTTCTTGTCCTATCTCCATTTACTAAAATGCTCACCCTCTGATTGTCGTAGATAGTCTTTATCATCTTTTCGAAGTTTTGCCCGAATCCCATTATTTTAATTTGCTTGGTCATAAAGTTCCAATTTAAATTGTCGAATGCCTTTTGGGCATCCAAGAAGACTAAGGCCAACTGCTTTTCTGGGTGTTCTTCATAATATTCTAGAGTATCTAACACAATTCTCAAATTATCCCTAATTTGTCACCCCGGGAGAAATCCATTTTGATCTTTATGAATCCAGTTGTTTAATATTTTTTTGGCTCTTTCTGCCATTATACACATGAATAGTTTGTAATCAGTGTTTAGAAGCGAAATCGGTCTGTAATTTTGGATTTTTTTTTGGGTCGGCACCTTCTTTCGGCAGCAGTGTAACATGTGCTTCCCTCCACGAGTCAGGGATTTTTGAGCCCGTCAAAACCTCATTGAAAATTTCCATTAATTTGGGTTGTAGAATTTTTTCCAATTTTTTGTATATTTCTCCTGGGAATCCATCTGGGCCTGGCAATTTGTTGTTTTTGAGTTTGGAGAGGGCTTTTTTAAATTCTTCAATTGTTATCTTAGCGTTTAGCATCTCCTTCTCTTCCTCCGTTATTTGTGGGAGCTCCGCATTTGCCAGATATTGGTCTATTTTTCCTTCCGAGGCCTCCTCTTCTTTGTATAGGGATTCATAATGCTCTCTCGCTCTTTCTAATTTGTCTTCTTCTTTATTTAAGAGATTTCCCTCAGCATCTTCTAGTATCTGAATTGTCCCTTTTTCATTTTCCTTTTTTAATTTATAGGCCAGCCACCTGCCCGATTTATTGGCGTTCTCAAAGTAGTACTGTTTTGTTCTTTTTATTTTTGGGGCTAGCTCCTCTTGATCTAGGATGTTTAATTTATGTCTCCACACCAGCCAATTTTCTTTTGCTACAGTATCTCCAGGCGTTTTCTGGAGTTTCCTTTCTGCTTCATCTAGATGTTTAATGAGATCTTCCCGGGATTTCCTTTTTAATTTATTTTTATATGCAGTGTAGGATATTATTACCCCTCTTAGATAGGCCTTCATTGTGTCCCATACTATTTCGCGGGGTGTCCCTTGGTTCTCATTTTCTATAAAAAAAGTCTTTATTTCTCCTTTCAATTTTTCTACACACTCTTTGTCACATAGTAGTTTTGCATTGAGCCTCCATCTCTGTTGTTTCTTTCTCTTTATGTTTCTCCATTTTGTTTCCAGGGGGTTGTGATCTGCCCAAATGTTTGGGCTGATTTCTGCCGTCTCTATTTCTAACCCCAGCGTCCTGGTAACCCAAACCATATCTATTCTCAACCATGACTATTGCGGATTGGAATAGAATGTATATTGTCTTTCGCTTGGGTGTAAAGTTCGCCATATGTCAATTAAATTCATTTCCTCCACCAAATCGAAAAAAGCTTTTGGTAAAGTCGCCCTTTTATTTTTGTTCATTTTATTACTTTTGTGATCGTTGTCTGGGTCTACGATTCCATTGAAATCGCCTATCATGCAAATTTCATTATATTCCATTTTCCCTAATTGTTCACGAAGCTTTTGGAAATATTCTCCTTGTTTTTTATTTGGGGCATAAATGCCCAAATAACATTTTAGTGTTTTCTCTCGTGACTTCAACCATGAGGGTTCTTCCCTTTGTATTATTATATTTCAATTTTGCTTCAATTCCTTTTTTAACATAAATTGCTACCCCTCTCTTTCTTTTTTCTGCTAATGAGGTAAATAGTTTACCATATTTTTATACTCCAAACATTTACCCTCATCCTTTTTTATGTGGACCTCCTGTAAACAGATTATATCCATATTTTGTTTTGCTAGTTTTGTAAGTGTTAATTTCCTCTTTTTACTATCGTTTAATCCATTGACATTTACTGAGATTAATTTCAAATCATTCATTCCTGTTTTCCTTGCTCGGTCTTAGTTCTTGTTTAGTCTTACGGCTCTTACTGGTCTTGTTTTTTTTTCCTTAGTTTCTTCTTCGATCTTCTTCTCCTCCGCGGTTCCTTCCTCTTCTAAATTTGTCGCCTCTATTTCCTCCTTACTACTTTGTTCTTCTTCTGCACCCCTTAACTGATCAAGAAAGTCTTGTGCTGTGCTCAAGCTATCTATTTTTATTTTTCTCCCCTGCCAGGTGATTAACATCCCCTCTGGCAGGAGCTATCTAAACAATATATTTCTTTTGTTCAATTGCACAGCCAAAAATCTGTAGTCTTTTCTCACCTCCCTCACTCTTCTTGGGATCTGTTTTAATATTATCACTTCTTTTCCTCTGTATGTTATTTGTCCGTCCCTCGCCATACTGTATAAGATGTCTTTTACTTTTTTTCTCGCGAACCTAATATGGACTTCTCTGGGGAGCCTATTCCTCCTCGCATAATTTGTTTGGACTCTATAGACGTCGTCCAGTTCTCTAATGATCTCACGTTTATCTTGTTGGAGTACTTCTGCGATTAGTTCCGCCATCTTCTCTCCCAGATCCTCCTCTTTATCTTCTTCCACATTTTGGAAGCGCAGGTAGAACGACGCCCTATCCATCTCTAATTGTATTAACGAATCTTCTAATTCCTTGTTTTGCATCGTCAACGTCTGATCTACCATGTCCAGTTTCTTCTCATTTTGTTCTATTTTTTGCTCCGCCTTCTGGATCCTTTGTTCGTTGTTGGAGATTGAGACTTGAATCTCGTTCATCTTCTGGTCCAGTAGGTGGATATCTGTTTTTAGTTCGGTGTGATTGTTAGACATTTTTTCCTGCATGGCCATCATAGTTTCTTGAATTAATGTCAATGTTGACTGCACTGTTAGTAATGTTGGTGTTGCTATGGCCTTGTCCGTTTTTGATAGTCCTTCCGTTGACTTTTGGGTAGCCGGGGAGGTCATGGATATAGTGGGATTTGAGGGGGTCTTTTTTCCTGTTTTCAGGATCGTTGATGACATGCTCGTCATTTCTTTCAAGATTATTTTTTGTTCTCTAATTATTTTCTCGATATTTCTCCAAATTTTCATACACTGGCTGTCACCTCTTTTTATACTTCTTCAGAATATGGAGAAAAATTATTTATCAATCAATGTCAATTTATCAATCTATATCACTTCCAATCAATATCTTAAATAAACTTATCAATCAATATCAATTTATCAATCTATATCACTTCCAATCAATATTTTAAGTAAATAACAAGAATTGATTTATGGTTTGTAATTAGTTTATAGTTAATTGATATATTAGATAGTAATTAATTAATAAGAATTTATTTCTACTTGTTAATAATTAATTCAAGTCCTAATAGTTTAAATCACAATAACACAATAACTCCTAGGTAAATCTATAATCTATAACTAAAATTCCTATGTCTAAATTACTACTTAAAAAAGGTTTTTAGTTCAAATTCCTGTATAGCTGTTTACCAATAAATTAATATATGTGGATATTGTAATTCTAATATAACAATATGTCAATAAGTCAATATATGAGAATAGTATCAGTACAGATAGATGTAAATAAATATAGTTAAATACAATTAAATAGTTAATTAAATAGGTATAAATCTAATAAACTCTATAAAAATATATCTTGTATATAAGCAAAGGTCAGAACTTAATTAATATAGAGATTTACAATTCTTATTAATAACAGTATTATTATGCAGAGGATCAAAATGTTATAAAAAGAATTTTCAGAAGAAAAGGGAAAAAGGGGGGGGAAATATCCAAATTTCAGTTGGGGACAAGCAATGTTTTTCCAAAAGGGTGATATTCTTTCTCACTCAGCCACTGGTCTCCTCCAATCCTTTCTTCTTCCCACATTTACTTTGCCACTGTCAAAACTCTATGGTAAGCCTCGAAGCTAGATTGTCTCTAGCCTGTCCTTTTCAGTTTGCTCTGTCAGGCTTCTTCAATGGCTGCACTTCCTGTTCTCTGGCATAATTGGATAGAGTCCAATCTCCGACTTAGTTCACCTTTCTGCTTTCACCAGCAAATGGAAAAAAGAGTTCTTCTGGATTCTTTTAGTTTCCTTGCTCCCTATGCCCACCGATCCTCTTCTTGCGCAGGCAATTTAGCGTCCTCAGTTTCTTGTTCTCTGCGCCAGCTTGTCGAGCTCCGTGGTCGTTCAGACTATTCTCCGATCTCCGGCGCCGCTCTTTTCCATTTGAGCCCTTCTCGCCCGACTCCGCCGACCCCTTCCTGATGTTCAATCTCACGTACGCAGGGAGGACACGTTTCAATCTCGGCACTGCAGCCTCCGATCTTCCTTGCTTCCCGTCTAGTTGTCGGCTACCACAGCTTCAGGTCAGCCATTGAAAGGCTGACTTCACACGCGCCAGTTTGACAGAGCTGCCCGGTTTTGCGAGAAGTGTTTGCGCTTCACTTTCTCGCTCACCCAGCTCTCTCTATTGTCCGCGGGGCTCTCCAGGACCCGCGCCCCCGAAGGGATCCCCAAAACGCGGTGACAAACGGTGTTGAGGAGTGGCGATCACTCACTCAGCACCATGTCGCTGCAGCTCGCCAACCGGAAGTCTACAATATCTTTTCCTATCCAGTCATTAAGCAAGTCACTAAGCAAGTCATTAAGCGACTTAAAGTGAGTTTCCTTCAGGGGAGGGAACAATATCTGTTTTCTCCCATCTTCTGGGACCTTACCAGCCCTCCGGGAGTTCTCAAAGATAACCAAAAGCTCACCTTTGCTTATTTTTTCCAGTATCCCTCTGGCCTGGGGCATTTCTGTTAGTTAACTGCTCTTTACTCTCTCCTGATCCAACCAACACCTGCCACGTCCTCCTTCCACTAGTGGGACAACCATGGAGAGCCGGAGTTTCATTTCCTTCCTAAGAAATGTAAACTATGAATTGAAACTTTCCGCCTTTTCACCTTTATAAGCTTTTTGCCCCTTTCCTTTTCACCTTTCTCTTCGTAACGGTCTGACAGCCCCTTTGCATGTCTGACATACGCCAAAATTTCCTTTTATTTTCCCCTTGGATTGAATATTTCTTGCCTCGGCTCATTCTGTGTATCAGCCTTTTGGACAGTTCCTGAAGTTTCTGAGAAACTGGGAAACTTAGCCACGACAAAATCAAGGCATTCTCTCTGATAAACAGAACAGAATCCTTTTTTTGGTCAAGTGTGATTAGACACACAAGGAATTTGTCTCCAGTGCATAAGTTCTGTGTACATGCAAAATGACAAAATAATCATAATCGTAACAACAAAGTAATAGTATTCATAATAATGATACCAATAAGAGAAGAAAGTGGAACATATGAGAAGGATAATAGTAATACAGACATACTACATGGGTAAATATAAGCCAGTACTGTGGAAATTAGGTGTTCAACGAGACAAAAGAAAAAAAGATTATGGAAAATTCCAAATAGCCCTGGATGAAATCGTATCCTCTTAGGACAGAAGGACCTGGTTCTATCAACACTCTAAAATCATCGGAAATTCTGCATAGGTGACCAATGTGCTGTACTTACTCTTGTCTGATTTTGAGGCCTTGGGCTTCCTCTAGGTTGATGAGATGGCGGGCTGCTTGGTCCTCTGCTTTGAGTTGGAAAATAGTCCTTTCCCTGAAATACACGTCTCTGCTGATTCCCAAGAGGCCTGCACCTGGAGGCCCATAAGCCCTGCCTCCTGACTTGCCACCACTGCTAACCTCTAACTTTTCTTGGCCAAGACGCAGAAGAAGCCAGTGAACCAGTCCTAATAGGAAGAAGAAAAGGATGCGGCTGGCCCAGATGGCTGTGGTGCTGCTTCTCCTTCAGCACAGTAAGTTGCCTTTGTAATCTGGCTCTACATTTTGAGGGCATGTTCTATCCAGCATGTTCAGCACTTGTGTTATCCAGCATGACCTAGAGTTATAAAAGCCTGCCTGGACAACCCCCATTGCCCAAGGAGTCTGGGATACCCAGTTTCATTTATCAGAGCCACACGGTTCTCCCTGCCAGCTGAGCACAAATTGAAAACCCAGAGCTGCCCTTCAGGGTAATACTTATATCCAGGACATAAGTCTACTTTTGGGGTGGAGGTCTAGATTTTACACCCCCCCCCCAATTTCTACAGCTGTCCAAAATGTTTCTGCCTGACCTGCTCCGAAACGAGGTTTAATGCACCTCAATTGCTGCTGATGAGTTTGATCACAGTGGCCTAACACCCAAGCAAAAAACCATTGCAGGAGGGCCAATGTTCTCCCATATGGTGCTAGGAATGACTCTCGCCTGTCAAGCCAACCGTCACATAGGAAGCCTTGCCTTGGGAAGTGGCTCGGTTGCCATGGGACTCCTCAGAGATAACCAGAGAGATGCGGTCCTGGCCGCCCCGTGCACCAGCAGGAGCAAAGGCGAACCGAGGGTTAGTGGGTCAAAGGGACAAATCTAGCTCTATCCAAACAACCAGCAGCCCCGGCGTTTTGCTTTTCAGGCCCACCTGCTTCCTTCCACCCCGAAAAGCATCCTGGCTGCACAGCACAGGGCCTGGCAGGGGACTTGCATGCTGAGGTATCTGTAATGAAGCAGGTGGGGAAAACCTCTTCACCCAGTGCCTACAGAGGGTGGACAGATGAACAATTTTATGTACTCGCAAGCAAATCCCATGCAGGTCATAACCAAAGTGCTTCAAATCACCCCTGCATGTGTGTACGAGAAAAATGATGCTTGTATCTTTGCTGGTTTGTGTATCGTTGTCCCCATTTATCTCTTCTCCCTTCTGCTGCTTCCCTGTGCCTGGGAAGGAGGACCCACTATTTGTAAATGAAAAGCCTGGTGCAGAGAGGTGAGTCCCAGGAAAAAGCCACAGGAAATTGTGAGGGGAACGTTTCTGAAATAGTAGAGACCAGAAAGGCCCTTTGTTAGTATCTTGTTTATTAATTTAGTTGTTTTAATCAGCACTTCACGGATGCTATGCAAATATTTGGATACCACTCTAGAACCAGTGGTGTGTTTCAGTGCTAATTTAAGACTGATTAAAACATAAAGTTGGTGCTAATATGGTGACTGCTACTGTGTGATTGCGGCAGAGGCCGTGTGACCATTTGCCCAAAGGGACAGAAGGACATGGCAAACTATCTCCCCACCCCCACCCCCCAGATGTCCAAATGGAAAAAGAGGGAAGCCAACCAGGAACTGCTGGCCTAATGCTCTTCCCTGCCTTTTCTCCACCTCACCTGCAACCTCGCTGGGGACTGTTGGCCAAACCTGACTTAGGTTCTGCCTCAGTTTACCTTTTCCAATAAGCAACCGAGTTGGAAGATCATTTAAAAGAAATTATTAGAGTACTCTGATAAAATGGGGTCTCCCTATGAAAAAGGGAGCCAGGAAAAATGGATTACATTCACTTTTATAGTTAGCACAACAAAGGACTTCAAAGCGAAAGTTGATTGCTTTAGAAATAGTCACCTGTCCAATTACAACACAAGAGTTACAACATCCAATAATATGTGAGAATAGCCATAGAAAAGAGTCTTGTATTTTGAGTAAAAGTAAAAGAAACGTTTGGAAAGGAAAAACATCCAAATGGATTTGGGTACGGCACCTTCTCAGAGCTTCCCAAGGTTGGGCTTGACTATTCTCTTTGTTCACTGAGGCCTGAGAACAGCGGAAAAGGAAACTGATCTGCAATGTACCCAATACTCTCCTGCCAGTCCTGGTTTCTGAAAGAGGCTTTTACCTGAAGGTTAAGGCTTATGGCAAGCTATTAACAGTACATTTGAAAAAACAAATTTAAAATACAAGAAAACCCGTGATGGTTAGCCAGTGCAACAGTACTACAAAAACCATGTTTCAAGTATTACAAAGTCCATTCTGCTGGCAAGGGGAGGGGATAGAGATGGGGGGGTGTCAGACTGGGCCTTCTTGGCCTTTGGGAGACCACAACTGACATGGCAGCTTCTCACTTCCCGTACAGACTCCGCGTGCCAGGAGCTCACCTGCTTCGCGGACTACATCCAGCGGCTGGAATGCACGTGGGGAGGCGGCCTCAGCCCAGCTCACAGGGCCCAGTACAAGCTCAGCGCAAAGTGGTAGGTTTGAGGATGAGGCACCCCGGGCTTCTCTGCCCACTCAGAAGGTGGCGCAGGAGCCTCCGCTGCAGCCGCTTCCCAGCCAGGCTCTGTCGGCCTGGACAGTCGGCCTGCCTGGCCAACTCCATGCCGGGGATCAGTGGGGGGAAGCAGCTCTCCTGTTGCAAGGGAGGCTCCTCGAGGGGTGGGGGGAGGAGCAGGAGAAAGCCCAGAAAGCCTCCTGGGGGGCGGGGGGGACTCGGGCATTTGGCTCCCCTTCTGAAAGCCCTTCCACGCTCCCTGGGAAGCGGCCTCTTTGCTGGACCCTCCCGCGATGTTTGCTTTCCCCAGGAACTGTGGCGACGGCGGGAGCTGCTCCTTCAACCTTACCGCTGGCAACACCACCCACGCATGCTATGCCTGCTTCTCTGAGCAGAAGCTCTGCTTTGCCACCAACGCCTTCGAGGTCAGCATCGCCGCAACTCCTGCGGAGGAGCCTTCGCGGCTACCCCGAAGTTGCAATAAGACGTTCCTGTTCCAGAACCACAGTGAGTGCACCCAAAGAGCTGTGCTAGAACTCCCGGGCAGGTGCGAGAGATTCAGCGGCCGGTCGCAGCTGGACAAAGAGACCCCAAGGGCCGTCCGCGGGGCATCGCCCGCTGCTGCTGCTGCTTTCCTTGTGATGCTTTGACTCAGGCGGGTTTTGGAGGGGAAGTTAAAGTGAGGGTTACCCCTTCAGCCCTCTGGGCCACCTTCATTCTGTCCACCTTGGGGGGGGGGGAATGCCCCCTGCTGAGGGATGCCCCAGTCTGGCTTCTTCTCTTCCCAGTTAAGCCACATCCGCCAATCCACCTGGTCGCAGTTGCATCATCTGCTGGCTACACCCTTTCTTGGGAGACCAAATACCTGGACCAAGAGTACCACTTACTGAGCGACAACCTGCAGTATGAGTTGCGGTACAAGAAAAAAGACCAGCCTTGGCAGGTGAGGAGGCAGAGTGGAAGGGGGGAGAATTCAAGGGATGGGGCTCGAGAGGTCATCCGAAGGCACCGGCAGGGAGGAGTGACACGGGGATGGGCCAATCGGTCCAGAGCAGCCTATGGCTGGCCTGTCCTCCTCGAAGGGCAGCAGGTCAGCTCTGGGCTTCAGCGGCAGCAGACCAGAGCAAGCCAGCCAATGCCCCAAGCCATGCAATGGCTTCGTCCCACGAGGGTGGGGGGGGGTCTTCCCTCCCACTCGCCACCCTCCTTTCATGAGGAAAACCTGGAAAAGCAGGAAAGCTTCATTTAAAGGTGAGGCACACATTATTTTATGTTTGCAACTGAAACAATACTTGGAAAATTTATGTTTGGGAAAGACTGATGACCTTTTGCAATTGCCCCTCCTCTTCGCTTTTCTTTGACTAACACTCCCACTTTTTAAAAATGCAAATAATGTTGTTTAACAAAGTAAGTCTGCCTCATCTCCAAGGCTGGGAGAAGGGCTTTGGACTTCCGATTAAAAGCAGCATTTTTAAAAACCGGGCTTCCTCCAACCCTGGCACTTCCCTGGCATGATGCAAAAGGAAATGCCACCTCCTTGGCCACACCAGTGAGAACGATCAACCGATGGAACAGAAGTTGTGGGAGCTTCATCCCTGGAGGCTTTCATGAAGAGACTGGATTGCCGTCGGCTGTAGGCAGGGTCTCCTGCTTGGGCGGGGGGTTGAACTAGATGACCTACAAGGTCCCGTCCAACTCTGTTAATCTGTAAGGGATCAGCGCCCTGTAGCCATTCCTACAAACAAGACTGAGTGGGACTGAGATTGGAGAACAAGGCTGAGTCTTTCTGCTGCCCCCAGCAAGCCATCATCTCACGGTAGCTCAGGAGGAGCCATCGTGGCTGGCATCTTCCTAACCTCCTTGGCAGTGTGTGGGTGGAGACTAGCGGGGGGTGGGGGCTGCTTTGAAAAAAAACTCAAGAAATAACCTCTGAGGCCTAACCAAAGTCAGGGCTATTTAGAACATCTCCTTGGGCAATTTTTGGCATGGCTGGGTATCCAACCCACCAACCCCCGTCCCTCGGAGACTGTTTTCTGAGGACAATTCAGGTGACGCAGTGGTCAGATTAATCCCACAACTCCTGGGGGTCTCTTTGGGGTCTCAGAACAGCGCCCCCCCAGAGTTCTCTCTTCCTTTTCTCCCGTGCAGCGGCAGAGCCAGAAATCCCTCCTGCAGGACCTACACAGCTTGCAGCTTCTGCCCCAGGAGTTGGAGCAGAATACCGAGTACGAGTTCCAGGTGCGCTCAAAGCCGGCCTCTTCTTACCAGGGAACATGGAGTGACTGGAGCCCCCTCGCCTCCCTTAAGACCACGCACAAGGGTGAGCCCCCCCACGCCCTCCTCTGCCCTCCATGCCTTCCACTTCACAGCCAGGATGGCGGGGGAAACCGGCAGTCCAGGCACGGCCTCCTGACCTCAAGCCCCTTCTCTTCCGTGAGCAAGGGCAGCCTGGCTTCTCCTGGGTTACCCAGTCCAGAGAAGCCAGTTTATGAAGAGCAAAGGACCTGCCCCACACCTACATCCTGGCCCCCAACCTGGCTTCTGGAGCTTTCCTCAGCAGGCGGCTTTCTGCACCAGCTGTTCAAGATTGGGGGACCAAACTGATTCTTTCCCCTCCCTTCTTTAGCCTCGGAACATGGTGCAGTCCAATGGCTGAAGGTGTTTTTACTGGTGCTCAGCTTCATTGTTGTCCTCATGGCCTTCCTGGGGTGGCATCAAAGGTGAGTGACATTGCCGGGGAAGCCAGATGCAGGAGACGCCTTGCCCAGTCCATGGAGGCTTTTCCAGGTCTCCTTACACTGCAGGGATTCCCCCCCTCCCCCAATGTGTTTTTTCATCTCATAGCCAATATCCAAGCCAGCATTAGCATCCTGCGAGCATCTCAAGGGGCCAACGGCAGAGGCCGGAGACCAGAGAATCATCAAGAGTATCCCAGGCTGCAGATGAGCTCTTTGTTGTCTCAAGATGGCCTGGGGTCACAACAGTCCCTCTTTCCAGGCAGGCCAGCCACCTGGCAGGGCAAAGACCCCCAGTTCAAGACTCCTTCTGGGTTCAGGGACTTGAGAAACAAATGTTGCTGAAAAACTCAGGGATTGGACTCCTGCTCAGCACTTGACCTTTAGCAGCTGGGACGACATCTGGTGACCGGCCTGTCTTTCCCCTCACAGGTTGTGGAAGAAGCTGGACTGTTTCACCCCCAGCCCAGCCCCCTTCTTCCAGCCCCTCTACCTGAGACACAATGGAGACTTCAAGGTAAGAGCCGGCTCCTTGCCAGTTACTAACCAAAGTAATTTGCGGGGAGGGAGGACTGCAGTTGCAAGGGGTGCCTGAAGCACCCACAGCTTTTGGCAGCCCAGCAGGGGCTCCCTGTGGCAAGGAGGGCAGCCTGTGGGCAGCTCACGTGGCAGCTCAGGGCAAGGGAACAGCATCGGTTAGTTTCTCCCCGCCACCTTCCTGCACCAGCCTATCCTGGCAGCCTGCCCTACTCTGCCACACCACGGTTTCCTCCATCACCCTCCCGCGGGCAGAGGAAAGCCTAAGCAGGCAACCCTCTTGGCTGAAAAAGGGAAGCCGTTTCCTGCCCAAGCAGGCAGCTGAATCCCAGCAAAAGGCGCACTCAGTTCTCATCCTCTCCCCCTACATCACGCATGGCAGTCGCTACCAACTCCTGATTGCCTGTACAGATGCTCCTCTGTCCCACATCAGCAAACTAAACACATCTGGCATTTGTAAACAGTCGAGAGGTCTCTGCCCTCTTTGCTAGGGAAAGACACCAACACGGGTCTCCCTATGGCCAGCAAACGGGTCAGTAATGGAAGCTTAGGTCTTGCCGAGCTGCGAGCTGCAACCTCCACTGGTCTGGCCACAGTTCTGATGCCCTCAAGAACAGAGGGATAAAGGGGCGGGCGGGGGGGGGGGGAGGCCAATTCACTGTGGTGCAAGAGTTACATTAATTTTGAAGAAACAGTGGAATCGAATCATTAAAGGAAGGATGGCAAAGGAGGTTCAAAATAAAACATGAATAACAACAATTAAAATGTTTTCTAAAATTACCAGTATTTTAAATTATTAAATTGAATTGCTGAATTGGGCCACAGCAAGTTGTCCCGTGGTCGAGTTAACTATGGAGAGTTGTCCTATTCCGCTCATCAGGAGGGCCAGCAGAGAATAGCCAATGTCCATGGACAATGTTTGGACTGAGGCCTTCCCGGGGACCTCTCAGGCTGAGCTTCCCCACTCCTCTTTAGCTTCTTACTAAAAAGAAGCTAAAGAAGCTAAAAGAAGCTAAAGAAGCTTCACTGTTGTAGTGAAGTGAGAACCTGCCACTCACAACTCTCCCCACACACAACTGCCCTTGCTCGGTGCAGGAGTCCAAATTCTAGTGGGACCCATCCAAAGAAGGGGAGTCCACATCCACCCACCATTAGGAAGCTGTTTTTTCCTAAAGTTTGATCAGAATGATGCTTTTTGAGATTCATTTCTAGCAAGATTTAGGCCTGAGTGGGCCACAGAAATCACCCTTCTTCTGTGGGCTGACCATTGCCAGAAGAGAGGGAGCGACCCTGCAACTTCTGGAGCTCTCGAGGACGGAGGGTTCCGTCGACCATCCTGCTGAGCTCAGACCAGGCAGAACTGTTTGCAGGAGTCCCATTCTCTGGGGTGGCTGATTGAGAGGGGAGGCTGGAGGATTTGTCTCCTCTGAAACATTTGTGGTTTGAGCTTCACAGGATTTCACCTTGTTTCCTACGATGTTCCGCATCTCCACAAACACCCCAGTCATCTGGGGATTTAGAGTAGGGTCCTCAGTATGCTGCTAACCTTCAGCTCTGATGTTTAGCATAGCTGCAAGCGAGGCTGGCACAGTGGCAGAATAGATGACAACTAAGCCACTGATCGTTTGAATACTACAAAATTACTTTGGCAGGTGGTTTGTGCTCACGGCAATATTCTCTGGAGCAACTAACCGCCCGGATGGCACCTTCTTCCTCTAGATATCGAACTGCATGCATTTCTCTTCTTCTCTCCACAGAAATGGGTGGGTGCCCCTTGCTCTGGAACAACCCTCGATGCCTTTGACTGGGGCATAGTTGTGCCAGAGTTATTTGGCATTGGACACAAGAGCCTTCTCCTGAACTGTGCCAAGGGAGACTGGAATGATGACCTGAATGGGCAGCCTCCAATGTCTGCCCCGCTCCTGCCAGAACACTTGCAGGCCTTGGCCAAGGGCTGCAGGGCCACATGGGAGCAGGGCTATGGCCACCTCTCCATTGGCACCGTCACGGTGGCGGAGGACTTTGCAACTCACTGTCCCCAGTGCAGCAGCGCCCACCCGTGCTGGGCCCTGGAGGAGGAGCTGCAGGAGGAGACGGAAACCAGCGAGAAGGAGGCCTATCGTGGCCTGCAGTTTGACAGCAGCAGCAGCAGCAGCCTTGGTCTGGGCTCGGGCCGTTTGCTGCTGGGGAACGAGATGCCCCTGCAGGACTCCTTTCCCTCTGGGCCGGCCTCCTGGACAAGCCACCCCCACTTTGGCTCTCTCCCAGCGGGCCCAGAGGGATTCTTCAGTCTGCTGCCTGCCCCCTCGCTCCTCGGCACCTGCCTCTCTGCCCCAGCCCCAGAGGAAGGCCTCTACAGGGGATCCCGCTCCCCCGACTGGGAGGGGGAAAGCGATCACGTCAATGGCCTGGATCTGGACACCATGGACAGCGGCTTCGCAGACTGCGAGTGCAGGAGCCCTGGCGATGGGGAGCTGGCGGAAATGCCGTCAGGTTGCAGTTGCCAGTCTGAGCCCGGCCCTGTTGTGGGGGAACCTGAAAAAGAGGATTTTCTCCTGCCGAGATATGTCAAGCAGTGGATTTAGTCCCACAGCACTGAGGGACTCAGGTGGGCTGGGCAGGGGCGGAGCACCGGCTCAGTCCAAGAGGATCCCACAGGCCTCTGCCAGCCCTTGCAGGATTCTTCTGCCCCAGAGGCTCCTGATGCTGTCTCCCCTCCTTTGCCCCATGCCAGAAGTGCCCAGCTTTCTTTTTGTGAAGATGTGACGCTCTCCAAGCAATGTGGGAATGGAGGGCTTGGGGCATCAAAGGCAAATGGGAAGGCGAGTGGAGCTGAGCTCCAGGGATCCCAGCCTGCACCCAAGTGAATTGGGCTGGTTCTCCCTTAGTTTTTCTTCCGTCCTTTAGGCCAAGCTTCAGTTAGAGTGGCCTTTTGCTTCTGCACAATGTTTAGTTGATAAAAGATGTTTAAAGAGTAAAACTGACCTACAACAATTAGGGATTCCCACCTGTGTGAATGTCTTGGGATTGAGGCTCGTGCCATGGGAGAGGCTGGTCGGGATTCCCTTCCTGTTTTCTTAAACCACTCAGATGGACACCAACCATCTACTGACTACAAATAAAAGCTTCAAGAATTGTTGTCCTTGGTCTCTGATGGTCTTCAGCCTCACAGAAGCCTCACAGGCTATGGAACAGGAAGTCACAACGCACTGTGCGATTGTGATTTGGCCACGCCATTTTAGCACACACACCTCTGTTTTTTCTCATGCAAGGATTTGGTCATTTAGTGTCACATGCTGGGACAGAAGCATCATTCACAAGAACATCTCGGGTTCTGTTAAAGTAAAGGGCCTTGTTCTTTCCAACACAGCAGAAGGTTAGGAAGGAATGACATGAAAGGCTTTGGGCCACCCTGGGCATACTAGACCAAAGGTGAGCAAGGTTGGTGGGGAGGAAGAAGTGGCAAAGGATGGCTGAGTTTGAAAATGGGTAGATTAAACCAAGGGCTGAAGAAGAGATGATCCAGAAAACACACACACACACACACACCTCATCTAAATGGAAGAAGCAGTGGCTCAACATTTGGCAGCTGCTGCACTCTCAGCCCCTCCCATCAAATCATGTGACTTGGAATGGAGTCCAGCAGCCGGTCCTGAGCCCACAGTACAGACAGGCACACCAGACACGGCCACCTTTGGGGTAGGCAGCACTGCCACCAGGTGCATTTGCAACTGGCCAACTGCCCTCCGCATGTGCAGTCCTTAACGGAGCTACATCTGTAGATGAAGGAGAAGCATGCAGTGGGGAACCTCCAGGTTCCGTTTTAGGCCCAGCACTTTTCAACATCTTCATAAGTGATCCAGAGGAGGGGAAAGAAGAGAATCCATCAAATTTGCAGACAACACCAAGCTGTGGGGAATTGATAACTCTTTAGAAGAAAGACTTCGACAGACTTGAACACTGAGCCCTATCCAACAAAATGCAATTCAGCAGTGAGAAAAGTAAGATCCTACCCAGAGGCAAGGGAAACTAAATACACAAGTATAGAGCAAGTGGTACCTGGCTCAACATTAGCAACTGTGAGAGGAATCTAGGAGTCCTAGTGGACAATCACTTAGCTATGAGCCAGGTGTGTACGGCAGCTGCCAAAAAAGCTAATGCAGTCCTCGGTTGCAGCAACAGAGAGATAGTTTCAAGATCACAAGGAGTGATATATTGCATTGGTGAGGCCATACTTGGAATACTGCATCTAATTCTGGTCACCATGATACAAAAAAGATGTTGAGACCATAGACAGTGCAGAAAACAGTAATAAAGATTATAAGGGGTCTGATGAACAGTTGAGGGAACTAGGTATGTCTAGTCCAACAAACAGTAGGACTAGTGGTGATAGGATAGCAGTCTTCTTGAGGGTCTCTCACAGAGAAGAGGGGTCAACCTATTCTCTAAAGCACCTGAGGGCAGAACAAGAAGTAACAGATGGAAGAACATTAAAGAGCGATCCAAACTAGAATTAAGAAAAAAATTCCTGTCAGTGAGAACAATTAATCAGTGGAACAGCTTGCCTCCCGAAGTTGTTGGTGCCCCATCACTGGAAGTTTTCAAGAAGAGACTGGACATCCACTTGTCTGGAATGATATAGGGGGTCTCCTGCTTAAGCAGTGGGTTGGACTAGAAGACCTCCAAGGTCCCTTCCAACCCTATTACTCTATGTTCTGGAGTAGGGCAAGGCATTATTTCTGTGTCACCCAGAAGAAACTGAGGATGTTTCCGAGAGTGTCTGCTGGTAAAGGAATTACAAAGAGTTTAGGAATCATATAGGATCAAATGATATTGCAGTTATTGGCATGGTTTGATTTATTAACCATGGTTTATGTTCCTGCAACAAAAGAGAAATGAATGAGAAACTTGCCACAAGGGCTGGCTCCACAGAAACTAGCCAGCCACATGGCAGTCTTGTCTGTTATACCAGCCGGTAGGTACCCTCTTTCCCTCTTCAATGGTTCTCTGCTAGTGAGCAGAAGGGCAACAGGTGAACAAGAAGGGCAGCTGGGGGACCTGCTGGGATATAGCACAGGTTGGAGAGCCGCTTTGGTGTATTGGTTAAAAACATCAGGCTAGAAGCTAGGAGACCATGAGTTCTAGTCCTGCCATCTGGGTGACCCTGGGCCAGTCACTCTCTCTCAGCTCTAAGAAGAAGGCAGTGGCAAGCTACTTCTGAAAACCTGACCAAAAAACCCCTGCAGGGACTTGTCCAGGCAATTGTCACAAATCGCCACTGCCTCGAACACACAAGGTCACTCGTATTGACCTAGGAAGCTTTGCCCAGCCTGGGCCAGTGCTACCAATAGACCCAGCAGACACACACACACCCCGCACCGTCCCCTCACAGCGTCTGGGGGATCCAAGGCTTGGAGCTTGGAGAGGGGCGGGGTAAAGGGCTTGCACCACTCCATGGCTGGAGGGACGGCAAGTCAGGATGAGCCACACTTGTCAGAGGTCCTGGGCACTGTAAGAAAACCAGCCAGATTCTGCTCAGACTAAACGTCATTTTTGGGGAAGTGGGGCGAAGGTGGGAAGAATGGAGAAAAAGAATGACCAGGAAACCATGGACAGAACTCGGGTGAAATCCAGCAGGTTCTAACAGGTTCTGGAGAACCGATAGCAGAAATTTTGAGTAGTTCAGAGAACCAGCAAATACCACCTCTGGCTGGCCCCAGAATGGGGTGGGAATGGAGATTTTGCAATATCCTTCCCCTGCCACGCCCACCAAGCCACGCCCACAGAACCGGTAGGAAAAAAAATGGATTTCACCACTGACAGAACTGACTAAGATCAGTCACTGCAGATGGAGGAGGTCACCCAAGGCTGCAAAGGTGTGAGGAACAATCAACAGGGAGATGAGGCGAAGTGAGGAGATGCTGCTTGTTTGGACCCCCACTCCCTGGGGAGGGGGGTCCCCTTTCTTCCCCTGAACCTTGGAAGCATAGAACTGGAAGGATAATAAGAGTTGGAAGGGACCTTGGAGGTCTTCTGGTCTAACCCCCTGCTCAAGCAGGAGACCCTGCATCATTTCAGTCTCTTTTTGAAAACCTCCAGAGGCCACTTCTGTCCTACTTATTAATTGTTCTCACTGACAGGAAATTTCTCCTTCATTCTAGGTTGCTTGTCTCCTTGGTTAGTTTCCATCCATTGTTTCTTGTCTTGCCTTTTGATGCCTTGGAAAATAGTTTTGACACCCTCATCTTTGTAGGAGCCCTTCAAATATTGAAACACTGCTATCATGTCTCCCCTGTTCCTTCTTCTCATTAAAGTAGACATCCCCAATTCCTGCAACCATCCATTCTCCAGCCCTCTCACCATCTGCGTTGCTCTTCTCTGCCCTTGTTCCAGAATCTCAACATCTTTTTATACGAATGATGCAGGATGAAAGAGCAGCAGGAAAACGGAGTCTTTTTGTGACTCAGTTAAGTTCTTCACTGTTACATGCAAAAAAGTTATTTTCTGTGCAAGATGGCCACCTCTTCCTTTTTTGATCAGATTACTGCCTTTTTAAAAAAAATTGCAATAATATCACCCAGATAGGCATCTTGTAACAATGTGAGAAAGATAAACTGCCTTATCTCTATTCAGTTTGCCCGCTGCACACTGGAGGCCCTCAACAATTCTTGGTACATAACAAATATAGCTTGGGAGGAAAAAAGTCAGTTTCCTCCTAAGCGATCAGGAAACCAGTGTTATTTAGACATTTCTCTGCCAGGGCAGATTCTTAAATCTGGTATCATCCGATACCATCTTGATACCTCATTCTAATTTTGCACTCCAGCCCCCAAACTCTACCCCAGTACCTGCTTTCAGGTGCTGCTGCTAAATGCTAAGCTGCCCTGTGATCAGGCCACCCTCACTGTGACTTGATCACAGTTTCGTAGTGTTGTCCTGTGCCTGCTCCATGTTTTCTCCTCGCCCTGGGCAGAGAGGTCACCTAAACATGTGCTCCCTTCCTTCCCCATCTGCTTTTCTCCACAGTGCACCTCCTCTAAAAAGTGCTAACTGTAAATTAACAAGCTCAGCTCTGTGGCCTTAGTTTATTCGAACCCAGGGCTGCTCCTGCTGCTGCCTGACACCGAGACGACCCTAATCATCAGTTTCACATTTGAGGCTTTTGCCTGCCTCCTAAGTGGCTTGCTAGGCAAACAGCAGGTGCTTGTTCTCACTGTCAGGAATTTTCTCCGTAGTTCTAGGTTGCTTCTCTCCTTGGTTACTTCTTGTCCTGCCCTCAAGTGCTCTGGAGAACAGGTCGACCTCCACTTCTCTGTGGCAGCCCCTCAAATGTTGGAAGACTGCCATCATGTCACATACCCCCCCCCCCACACACACACAGTTCTTGTCTTCATTAGACTAGACATGCCCAGTTCCTGCAACTGTTTGTCATAAAGTTTAGCTTCCTGCCCCCTCATCATCTTGGTTGCTCTTTTCTGCAATCTTTCCAGAGTCTTGACATTTTTTTAATATTGTGGTGACCAAAATGGATGCAGTATTCCAAGAATGCTTTGTATTGCCCGTTGCATAGGTAGTCCTCGGCTTACAACCAAAACTCAGCCCAAAGGTTTTGTTGCTAAGTGAGACAGTTAAGTGAATTTTGCCACAAAATTTTATGACTTTTCTTGCCACAGTTGTCAAGTGAATCACTGCGGTTTTAAGTTAGAAACACGGCTGCTTAGTGAATCTGGCTTCCCCACTGATTTTGTTTTTCAGAAGGTCACAAAAGGGGATCATGGCAACTGTCATAAATAGGAGTCAGTTGCCAAGTGTCCGAATTTTGATGATCTGACCATGCAGTTGCTGCAATGGTTGTAAGTGTGAAAAATGGTCACAAGTCAGTGCTGTTGTAACACTGAATGGTCACTAAATGAACTGTTGTAAATCGAGGACTGTCTGTATCCGTTGTGTGCCTGCTTACTCCCTTGTAGTCTCTTTCTCTCCAAAGAGTGTAAGCACACACATCCATTTCCCTTTGCTCATTAGCCCAGCATCAAGGCGAGGCTCCCAAAGGGAGTGGGGAGGGGAAAGGGGCTGCACGATTTGCCCCTTTCCCAGCTTCCTGCATTGAGCTCCTAAGCCGTTCCTGTCGTTTGGGCTCACATCTTTCTGACCCTGAAAGCTAAAGCAAAATAAAGAGCCCAACCACTGTCACGTGAACTTTCTCTTTGCTTAACAACTGACTTGTCAGCCTCAATTCTGGATGCTAAATGAGGACTGCTTGTATTGTGGTTATTATCTGCCTCCCTTCTTCTTTTCTAATCTGTTATGCCAAAATTTCCCTGGTTTGCTTCATATTATCAAACTGTCTTCAGTCAGTGGAGCGTATCTTCTGCTGTAGTTCTTTCATTTGGTTTTTGCAATTTGTTCATCCTTTTTAGATTGATTGTATTGCACAATTTTGGTTTGGTTTTCAACCATTTCTTGTTTAGGAAAAGATGGTGAAAGAAACTGATTATCAGGGTAGGATAGGAAATAAAATAGAGAATAAAATATGGAATTGAAAATAGAGAGTAAAATATGGAATGAGAGTAACGTACAGTAGAATAGAATAGAGAACAGAATAGAATAGGAATCTCAGCATCCTTTTTGTATCATGGCAACCAGAATTGGATGTTATATTCCAAGTGTGGCCTCACTAGTGCAGTATAGAGCAGTGCTGCCTCTCCTTGTGATTTTGGTACTATCCCTCTGTTGATGCAGCTCAGAATTGCATTGGCTTTTTTGGAAGCTGCAGCACACTGCTGGCTCATACTTAAGAGTAGTCCAATAGGATACTTGGAACCCTTTCAGTTACTACTGCTGAGCCAGGTACCACCTAGTCTGTACTTGTGCATCTGGTTTTTCCTGCGTGAGTGCAGGACCTTATTTTTCTCATCATTGAATTGAAACTTGTTGGATAGGGCCCAATGCTTCATGCCTGTGAAGATTCTTCTGAATCTTAGCTTATCTTACTAAGTATTGGCGATCCCTCGGCTTGGTGTCATCTTGAAATTTTAGTTTTATTCTTTCATCTAGATCAGGGTCCCCAACCCATGGGCCGTGGACTGGTACCAGTCTGTGGCTCGTTGGGAATAGGGCCACGATGCAGTGGATGAGTGCATGAAGCTTTATTTGTGCATGTGTGGGATCATCTCCTCTGCTTCCCGCCGGCACTGGTCCATGGACCCAAAAAGTTAGGAGACTGTTGGTCTAGACCAGTGTTTCTCAACCTTGGTAGCTTGAAGATGGGTGGACTTCAACTCCCAGAATCCCCCAGCCAGCAGCACTGGCTGGGGGATTCTGGGAGTTGAAGTCCACCCATCTTCAAGCTACCAAGGTTGAGAAACACTGGTCTAGACCATTTTTGAAGATGTGAAGAATACTGGCTGGATCTCTCTCAATCAGATTTCAGACCTACAGCATTGAGACATCATGTTTGTTGATGATCTTGGACAACGTCCCTCATCTCCAACTCCCACCTCATCCCAATCTAAATCTTTTAGTTACTTTGTGGACTGGCTGACAAAAGGCTCTGCGTTTAAACGGAGTGTGTCAATTGCGAAGATGCTACGGCTCTCCTGATTTCTGGCTACTGTAGACCAAGCAGCTTCTTCCTGCAGCATCTGATTCCCTTTTCTCCACCTGCAAAGGTAGCAGGCAGGGCAACTCCCCACAGTCGCACCCTGTTCTCCTGAGTCCAGTCCCCTCAGGCAAGAAATTTCTATCAATCATGGTCTGTCCATCCCATGTTTTTATTTTATTATATGCAAAAGGAGAAGAGAAAGCAGAAGCACTGAACAAAAAGTATTCTTACAATATACCCTCAGACCAGGTCTTGTACCATTAGATTACTAACAGGTAGGTTTTCCTTCACAACAATTCTACTTTTCTGTTAACCAACCCCCACCCCCCCACACACGTTTTTCCTAAAAGGAGGAGCATCCGATTGTAAAAAAGAAAATCGATGAAATATTCCTTTTATATCTATGTAAAAGGATGCGATGCATTGATGCCCAAATAGTCTTCCACTGACGTTCAGTTTCCCAACGCCGCGCTTCCCGTCACTCGGGAGCCTCAACGAAGAGGGGCCGCATCGGCCGCGCCTCCCCGCTCCAGCCGCAGTCCCGGAGCGGCCCTCCCCGAGCGGCGGGGGCGCCAGGGCTGCTCGCGGGCGGCTCCTGGGCTCGGCCTTGGAGGGGAAGCGGAGGTCCCGAGCGGGCACCGGGAGGCGGCGGCGGCGGGGGCCAGTGGGCGGGCATGGGGGACGCCCCTTCACCCGCCCCGCCGAGGGTGCAGTAGTCGCCGGGCGGCCGCTCGGGCTCCAGCGCCGCCCCGGGGAGCTCTTCGCCCGGCGGGGATGCGCGTCGCTTGGCTGGCCCCGACCCGGCGCAGGTGGGCGGCTGCAGGAAGGAGAGCCGAGAAACCGCCTCCGCCGCCTCCTCCGGGGCCAGCCCTGCCCAGCCCTGCGGGAGCGAGGGAGAGCGCAGCGGCGTCAGCCGGCCCCGCCGAGGAAGGAAAGAAGGAAGGGCGGGGGCCGGCGGCTCCTTTGCCCGGCGCTGGAGGGTAGGAGGGCCGGAAGGCCGGACCCGGGGAGCCCGGCCCTTACCTTGAAATCCCCGTGCTGAGCCAGGTAGAGAGGCTGGAAGAAGGCGGCCGGCGTGGGAATGCTGGCCCCGCAGCTGCTGCGCGCCCTGTGGCCGAGGAAAGGCCGGTTGGTCCTGCCGCTCACAAGGGGCGCCCAGCACGGCTGCCCCCCCCCCCCAGCGAACCCTGCAGAGCTGCTGCTTCTGGCACTCAGCCCAACAGCAACAAAGGAAGCCCAGATGCCCCCCCCCCAGGTGTTAAGCCTGCCAGGCCCTCCCGTGTGGGCTGCAACTACGGGAAAGAAATCTCCTCTTGGGGCCCCCTTGACCCAGCTGGAGGGAGGGGAAGAGCAAACTGGGCAGGGACGCTTGCGGCCACCTTACGTGCCTGGCACAACTCCCAGGGGTAAAACCTTTGCAGGGGAGCCACCGTGAGAGCGAAAGGAGGTCCCGTACCTCTTGAAGAGGGCGAAGGCCAGCGCCAGCAAGAGCAGGAGGGTGCCAAGGATGAACAGGAAGTAGATGGGAGCATCAAGCTGCTGCCAGTCACCTGGGGTGGGAAACAGGAGCTGCTGAGCACAAGGGTTCTGCCCCACCTACCAACCCCAAAGAAGGTAGCACCTTCTTAACAACCTGCCAGAAATTCCACAGATAAGATCGAGTCTTACTAGAGTTGGCAGAAAGCCCAGAAGCCAGATTTCCAGAGAAAATTCAAACTCAATGATCAGCGAACAAATGAACATGTGTTGTTTCCTGCAGCTTTTTACAAGCTGTGTGCAAACTTAAATAGGCTAAGGGAGTGGCCAATTAGCCCCAAGCCTTACTCTCAAGGAGACCTCCTCCTGAGTAACCACTTCTGCCTTTTGGCAGCTCTGCGTGCTCCTGCATTGAGAAGAGGCTTCTCCTCTTCATCCTCTTCACTTAAAGGAGCCTCTGGAGGTTCTGAAGGCCCTGGCTGAATCCCTGCCTCTGGCACATCTTCTTCAGCCTCCTTGCTGTCTGACTCGAGCACCGGCTGCACAGGCTGCTGGTGCGACACCACACCAGCCGTCTCATCGGGATCAGCAACAATCCGCGCAGGCCGCTGGCAGGCCACAACAACAAGCAGGACCACCCTGGACACGCAGGAAGCATTGCAGAGGCCTCGCAAGGCCCCAACCCGGCCTGCTATTTCCTCTGGACACATTTGGGCACCCCGGAGGCAGAACTTGCTGGGTCATGTAGCGTGAGGGGTGAGCTGCCAGTCTGCTGGGCTTCAAGTCCATTTCAATTGCTGCCAAAGGCAAGAAAAAAAGCTGCACCTAGCCAGACTGAGTTTGCAGGGCTTGGCTTGAGTCCTGATCTACGTCAGCTCGGCTAGGTAGGCCCCGCCAAGAAATCAACCCTGCAGGAAGCTTAGAATTGCTTGCCTTGAGATTGGCTAGAAGGACAGTCTTGGAAATCTGCCTCTGATGGACACACACACACACACACACACCACAAATCAGGTGGGGACCTGCCTGAGCCGTTTCTGAATATTATATCTCAGCCACCCAGAACCGCTTTTCAGATTGCGATGAGTGTATGAAAAGCCAATCTGGTCTAGTAGTAAACCAGGTTAGTCAGGTGGTTAAGACACCACCTTAACCATGAAAGGTGACTAAGGGCCAGTTACCCTCTCTCTCTCTTTCAGCCAAGCCCACCTCACTGGGCTGTTGTGGGGAAAATTGGAAGAAGGCGTGTTGGATATATTTGCCTCCTTAAATTATTTGTAAAATACTTATGTAAAAATATTATGGAAGGGTTAATTTGATTTGTTTTCTACCTCTTGTTTGAGAATAAAGGAGAAGAAAAAAATAGGCTGAAATCTTGCAAGAGAAAAATGCAGTAAGAAAAGGCAGGGTGGGTGCAATGCAGGGGCCCAAAGGAGGCAAAGCTATCCTTCTCCTTTTATCAGCATTGCCGCAGCTGGCAACTGCTCCAGCTATCGGGGTGGTATGAGCAGCCAGTCTAGAAAAGGATAATCAGAACCTCAGCCAAGGACTGGAAGTGGGGTGTGTCTTTCCTGCAGAATAGAAGACCGAGGGGAGATAAAAGAACCCCCATCAAGATGTGCTCATTCTGTATCATCCTGGGTGGGAAATGCAGGGAAGTGGACACAGATGAGCTACCTGTCAGGGGGAATTTCAGGGGGATTGGAGGCCTCTCCCTGGAATTCTTCAAAGGCTGGGGGCAATCTGTCAAAAATACCGTAGGAGATCCATCGGTTTGGGCGAGATGCTTGCAGAGGTGCCTTTCAACTCCACGATAAACTGCTACGGGTAGACCTCATTTAGCAACTGCCTTGCTTAGTGGCTTCGCAGTTACATCGCAGTGGTGATGAAAATGTAACATTACGACCAAACGTCACTTTTACGACCTTCACAGGTCTGAAGTAAAGTCATGAGCATATTTGCAGTTTTGCATTGTGACCAGTCTGCTTAACAACCAAGTAGCTGGTCCCAATTGTGGTTGCTAAAGGAGAATTACCTGTATAAGCAATTCTAACAAATTTCTGCAAAAAGGCTTTTAAACGCTAAGGTGTGTGAAAAATTAAAATCTGAAAATATGATAACTCGAAATAGAAACCAGGGAAATTGGCATCAGTTCAACATCAGGACCATGTGGCCTCCTGGAGGCCAACCTGGGTGAGCTGCCCAAGTGACAGAGGAACTCCATGGACTCCAGTGGCTGCCATAGTGACGATTCTCCTCTGGTGTTTTGCAGCGCATTCTTGCAACATAATCTCTGTCACTCTTGAACTCAAAGCCTTCTAGGTGCACCCAGGTTTCCGAGTTGATGAAGACCTTTCTCTGTGCTTGCTAGGAGGAGAGAGGGAGGGAAGGGAGGAAACTATCAAGTACCTGGATGGATGAAATCCCCGCCCCCCCAAAAAAGCAGAGGAAGTGATCTAACTGCAGAATCTTTCTCTCTCCCTCTTTTTCCTCCTTCCCCCCCCCCCGCCCCCGCCATACACACCCACCCATACAGACCTGCAGTCTTAACAACAACTACCTGGATCATTTAAATCCCTCGGCATTATTTCCAGAAGTGGGTTGCCCTGGCTACCCTCTTCCTGGCGTTAAGAAGGGGCTGGCTCAACGTCACCCAGCTTTTGGGCCTCAGGCAGGTTTCTGCACTCTCAGTCCTGCACCTGAGAACGACTGCCATCAACGTGTACTGGGCTGCAACTGTTGTCATTGTGGAGGTGATGACAAGGAATGACCCAGTTGCATTACAGCCCAACACATTTCAGAACTTTTCAGTTGGGAAAGGGGCACTGTAAGACGGCGAGCTGCACATGTCAGCAAATTGGTTTAGGGATACTGGAGGACAGGTCAAGTGAGCCCTGAGCCACTTGCAAATGGATACAAATTTGCCTCTGCTGAGTTGCCTAGTCCTGACCAAAGGGGAGGCCCGGCAGCCCCCGAAAACATTCTTTCTGCTCCTTATCACCCGAGGTTACACCTGGTGGGTTTTGGGAGCACCAGCATCCCATCTCACCGCCTTCCCTTGGCTTCTCCTACCTCCCAGGGGTCTTGAACAGCCTTGAATGCCAGCTCCCACTGCCAGTCCTCCAAAACCTCCCCACAGGCCTTTGGCCTCTTCCAGCGGACACAGCAGGTATTGTCACCGCATTTGCTCTGCAGATCAAAGGGTGGGTCGCACTGAACTGGAAAGAAGACGGGCAGGGAGAAATGATTCGGGAATGCAATGGCTCACATTGCTGAGCTCCACCCGAGACCCCCAAGACGCTAGCAGTCTTCCTGAGGACCCCAGGCTACGCGGAGGTGGAGAAGAAGAGCAGAGGCCAGAGCAGGCCAAGAGAACCCGGCGGTCACCAGGAAGGCCTCTCGGCCTCCCCCTCCGGTTCACTTTCACTCACTGTGTAGTCTGGGCTTATACTTCGCAAAGATCACGTCGGTCTGGTTTTCTCCCAAGGAGCTGAGGTGGAGAACCACTTTATACTCATCGTTTTCTGTGAACTCGCCTTCCTCGCTGTGCACGGAACAGTCGAAGTGATCCGGTGTGCCAGGGGAGGCGGACAGAGGGCAGATGAGGTCACTGGAGAGTCCGAGGGTGCTGGAAGAAGAAAGGCCATCACGGCTTCAGCCTGTACCTAAGCACCGCTCATGGAAGGGCACAAAGCAGGGGGCAGCCCCAAGTGCCTGGCAGCCAGCCGAAGGGGGCATTCAAGGCTCCGTTTCATGGGAAGACCCCCTCTGAACATGAACATCGGGATCTCTAGAAACTTTACTTGGGGAAGGCAACCGCTGGCAAGTTTGCTGCAAAGGTTTTTATGAGCTGCTCTTGGGTGAAGATTAAGATCCCCCCAGCCGGGCATTGCCCGTGCTGCCTGGCAGCCTCTCCCTGGGCTGGCAGACCCAGGCGTTGCTGCCCTTCTGCTGGGGGCACCACCTGCTTTCAGGCTTTCCGCAAAAGTGGCCCGTCCCCTCCCGGCTTTCCCCTGCAACAGAACGCAGTCCAGAGTTTGGCCGGGAAAGAGACCCCTGCGCTTGATGTCTCCTGAATACGTGATTGGGAAAAAACGAAAAGGGGCAAAGGAAATTTTGGGCTTTGGGTTTCTAGAGAAATACAGTTTCCCAAACTCAAAAACAAATTGTCCCATTCATTTTACATTTGTCAGATCCCACCTTCCGCCTCTGGCCCAGGTGTGGGCAGCACACTTGGTCCCCGTTTCTACAAAACACTGAAAGGGGGAGGCAGCCCCAAGGCCGTGCCCCTCTCCTGACTCAGCCGGCCCAACTACGTGGCTGGGGCTGTGCATGGAACAGACGCCCCGGACGATAATAGGGGCCCCTCCTCCCCATTTCCTCCCTCTGGAGAGCTTGTGGGGGCAATGCAGATGTTCACATGCTCTCTGAGGAAGATTTTCTTCAGAAAAGACGGCATTTGTAGATGTCATTTCTCACTTTTAGGCTGAGGAGGAGAAAGAGTTCTTGGGATGAAACAAGGAAATAATCCCCAAAATGTTTTCACAGATTTATAGAACTGAACGTGGCCAAAGAGGTCACATCAATCAAGAGGGAAGGATGGACATTGTAACCGGTGGTGCTTGGAGGCTCCCTTATTGATTCCCCCAGAAATCGTCCCTGCTTCCACACTGGGCTCACAAGCCCCAGGAGCTCCCTGAGCAGAACATGCTGGAATGGAAGTTGGAGAGGAAACGGAGGGGGGGGGAATGGGTGGGTGTCCCCTTGATTGGCCATACTGCTTTTTGGAAAGATCTGGGAGAAGGGAAATGGGAGCAGCCATGCAGGACAGACTTTTCCCAATCTAGGCACTTGTCCAATTAAAGGACGGGGAGCAGTGGTGGGCAGAGAATAGATGGGGGCGGGGCCAGTCTGAATTTTTACTACCGGTTCTCTGAACTACTCAAAATTTCTGCTACCGATTCTCCAGAACTGGCCAGAACCTGCTGAAACCCACCTCTGACGGGGAGGGCCTGCAACTTGGAGTGGAGGACAGATGGGTAGGATGGGGTTTTTTATTTATTTATTTATTTATTTTTCAATTTATATACCGCCCTTCTCCCTGAGGACTCAGGGCGGTGCACAGCCAGAATTAAAAACATGAAATACAAATATTAAAAACAATTAAAATCTATATAAATTTGGCCCAAAATTTAAAAAAACACAAACCAATTAAACATTTAAAAATTTTAAAAAATTTCTTCCTAAGCCAGCCCGGCTTGCTGGAAAAAGTGGGTTTTAAGGGCACAACGGAAGGCACTGAGGTCTTGGATTCTCCTTATCTCTGGGGGCAGCTGATTCCAGAGGGTGGGAGCCCCCACAGAGAAGGCTCTCCCCCTGGGGGTCACCAGCCTACATTGTTTGGCTGATGGCACCCCGAGGAGGCCCTCTCTGTGGGAGCGCACGGGTCGCTGGGAGGTCGTCGGTAGCAGCAGGCGGTCTCGCAGATAGCTAGGCCCTATGCCATGGAGCGCTTTAAAGGTGATAACCAACACCTTGAAGCGCACCCGGAAGACCACCGGGAGCCAGTGCAGCTCGCGCAGGAGCGGTGTTACATGGGAGCGCCATGTTGCTCCCATCACTACCCGCGCTGCTGCATTCTGGACCAGGTGGAGCCTCCGGGTGCCCCTCAAGGGGAGCCCCATGTAGAGACCATTGCAGTAGTCAAGGCGAGAGGTGACGAGGGCGTGAGTGACTGTGCACAGGGAATCCCGATCAAGAAAGGGCCGCAACTGGCGAATCAGGCGAACCTGATAAAAGGTCCCCCTGGTTACAGCTGTCAGATGTTCCTCCAAGGACAGCTGCATATCCAGGAGGACTCCCAGATTGTGAGCCCTTTCTGTGGGGGCCAAAGACTCGCCCCCAATAGTCAGTGATGGAGTCAACTGGCTATATCGGGATGCCGGGAGCCACAGCCACTCTGTCTTGGAAGGGTTGAGCTTGAGCCTGTTCCTCCCCATCCAGATCCGCACAGCCTCCAGGCACTGGGACATCACTTCAAGGGCATCGTTGGGGTGGCCTGGGGTGGAGATGTACAGCTGAGTATCATCAGCGTACTGATGGTATCTCACCCCAAAGCCACGGATGATCTCGTCCAGCGGCTTCACATAAATGTTGAACAGAAGGGGCGAGAGGACCGATCCCTGCGGCACTCCACAGACGAGAGGCCTCGAGGTCGACCTCTGCCCCCCTGCCAACACAAACTGCGACCGGTCGGAGAGAAAGGAGAACCACCGCAATACGATGCCTCCCACCCCCAACTCTTCCAGCCGGTGCAGCATGATACCATGGTCGATGGTATCAAAAGCCGCTGAGAGGTCTAACAGGACCAGAACAGAGGAGCAACCCCTGTCCCGAGCCCTCCAGAGATCATCAACCAACGCGACCAATGCCGTTTCCGTGCTGTGCCCAGACCTGAAACCCGACTGGAACGGATCTAGATAAGATGTTTCCTCCAGGAATTGTGGAAACTGTTGCGCGACCACTCTCTCAACAACCTTCGCCATGAAGCGAAGGTTGGAGACAGGACGATAGTTGGCCAATATTGCCGGATCCAGGGACGGCTTCTTGAGGAGAGGCCTCACCACCGCCTCTTTCAGGGCAGCGGGAAAGTGACCCTCACTCAACGAAGCATTAATAACGCCCTGGAGCCAGCCTCGTGTAACCTCCCGGGAAGCCAGTACCAACCAGGAGGGACACGGGTCCAGTAAACATGTGGCCGCACTAAGTCTCCCCAAAATCCTGTCCACATCATCGGGAATCACAGCATCAAACTCCTCCCAGGTAACATTCTCAAGACTATTCCTCGTCACCCTGCCCTGATCTACCCAGTCAGAGTCCAAATCCCCCCGGATCTGAGCGATTTTGTCATACAGGTATTGTCCGAAATCCTCCGCCCTGCCTTCTAAGGGATCCTCCCGCACTCCCGGATGGAGCAGGGAGCGGGTCACCCTAAACAGGGCGGCTGGACGATTCCCTGACGACGCAATAGAGGCAGAAAAGTAGTTAAACTTTGCCGTTTTTGAAGTGTACCTGGCAGATAGTCTGGGGTGGGGCGGGGTGGGGTGGGAAAAGGACCATCTGCCATTTTCTCCAGGGCCCTGAGAAGACCAAGGAGATGGGCTGGAATGGATGGGCGCATTTTCTTCTACTGGCAAATCCACATTAGACCAACGCAGTGAAATGACCACCCTGCTGTCCAAGAGGCCATCTCCCTCCACTAAACCCTGGATCTTACTCAGAGAAATTGAGGTAGAACAGAGTTCCCTCCAAGGCCTGATTGCGGTGCCATTGGCAGTCCAGTCTGCGTCCCTGAAAACCGTAATTGTTGAGACACTGCACCTGGCTGGCAGCTTCTGCTAAGAGAGGGAGAGGGAGGAAAGCAACTGAGGATTACAGTTCTCCCGACCTCCCCCTGCCCGGTCTCCCCCCACACATGTCCCTTTACAGCGGAGGGTTAGCGATACCATCCCTGGGCTGCCAAAACCCAGAGAACCATTTGAGGGCAGCAAAGAAGAAGACTGGTCTGTATCCCTTAGCTGCCCTCAGGCAGCCACCTGATGTATGCAAAAAAGACACGGTGTTTCTCTTCCCTGGACCAGCGATGGGCATCTTGTTTGGTATCACATCTAAAATCAGTAGCCAACCAAGAGAAGATGGTAGTGCATCATGACCCAGGGCTTCTGAGCAGATGGATTCTGGAACTGGGTGGTGGACCTTTTTAGGCCTATAAAGGTTGTACAGCTGTTTTATTCCAGCACTGCTGCTCTGGTCAAAAGAAGAGCCCACCCTTCACAATGCAGGTACTTTTACACTCATCAGGAGCTAGAGGTGCCCACTTTTACGCCCAGCTTTTCTCCAAATTGATGGGGGCGGGGTGAGAGAGAGAGGAATATTCTCACACCTGGACCTTGAAGATTTGGATACCAATCTCCATTGGCTCATCATCAGTTTGGGGTCACAGATCTCATTATAAGCAGGTGCTCTTGCTGCTACCTCATACCTGTTTGCTCCATTGCCAAGAGAAGGAAGAACTGAGCCCAGAGCATCAAGCAGGCAGCTGTCCCACAGGCCTTTCCCATGGCCTCTGGATGTCTTGAACGCAAGGTGACTGCAACACAGACATGACACTGACATAGCTGGGAAGGGATTTTCAGTGGGGGAACTCACTCAGCCCCAAACCAAGTATTGAATCTCCTTTGCAGATTCTGGGAACAGACACCTGGGTGGATGGAGCCAATCAGGAAGTTACAGATACAGATTAACAAGAGTTGGAAGGGACCTTGTAGGTCATCTAGTCCAACCTCCCGCCCAAGCAGACCCTACACCATTGGCGGGAGGGAGGGAGGAAAAGGGAAGCAGGGCAGCCACTTCTGGGACTTGGGAAACAAGCCTCTAGTTAAAACCAGTTGGAAGCAGAGGTGTGGCTTTTAACCGAGTCCAAGAGTGGCGGTGGGAGCCAAGTAGCAGTATTTCTTTCTGATGCCTGCACAAAGTAACCACTGGGAGCAATAAGGGCGCTTCCTTACCCTTGGCTCTTCTGTCACTGCTCAGGAAGGTGCAGATATTCTTCTCAAGTTTTTTTCACTGAAAGGAAGATGCCCTTTGCCCAGCAGACAGAAGGTGGTCTCCAAAGACACTGGGCTCTTGCACCAAATTAATATCCTGCCTGATTTCAAACTCAGTAAGCAACGGAAACTGTCTCTCAGATTGGGGAACTGATCTGGAGGACCAGCAGATAAGTGTGGACATGTGACAAGCCCCAACAAGATTAGAGTGTTGGTGATCCAACAATTCGCAGCTTACTCTGACAATGATCCTAAAGCAGAGTTCCTCTGTCCAAATGGACACATGTTGGAAGAGGCCATTTGTAGCCCTTCACACCCTTTTTCAGGCTGGAGACTCCCAGGCTGAGTTGATGCAATACTGGATTAAAAGCATGCATAGGACACATTACGTTCCCTAGACAGACTTTATTATAGCTTAGGGCAGTGGCCTGGTTTGGACATCTTGGCAATACGATGCCTCTTTTCCCTTAACAGACCAAATGTAAACTGCCTTGTCCAATTTTCCCCCAATTTAGAATGTGAACCTATCCTCAGAGTGCTGATAGATTCACTGTGCCTCTAAATTATAATGGTGCAATAGGCTGTCATTCATGTTTAGTCACCTCTCCTATGGATTACTGCAATGTGTTCTACACAGGGCTGCCCTTAAAAGAATATTAGGAAGCTTCAACTAGTTCAAAATGCAGCTGTTACGTGTGTTAACAATTTTGTGCATGTTACACCTTCTGCTCAAGGAGTTTCAGCAGCCGCCACATTGATGATTCAAGATTCTGGCAGCGACCTACCAAGCCCCACATGGGCTGAGGCTGGCCTGTCCCCAGTTGCTTCTCCTTTTAATCAGGGCTGGCAGGAGGTGCCCACTAGCCAAGGAGTCTTGTCTGGCAGGGCCAAGAAGGGTCCTTGGTGCTCTCTCTTTTTTTTTTAATTTTTTTTAATTTTTTATTTATATGCCGGTCTTCTCTGGAAATTTAGGGCGGCTTACAAGGCGTTAAGCAATAGCCTTCATACTTTTGTATATTTTATACAAAGTCAGCTTATTGCCCCCACAATCTGGGTCCTCATTTTACCTACCTTAGAAAGGATGGAAGGCTGAGTCAACCTTGAGCCTTGGCGAGATTTGAACTTGCAGTAATTGCAGGCAGCTGGAAGCTAAATACTACCTTTTAACACTAGCATTAGTCTGCTGCACCACTCAACCTCTGAGCTTGTTTTTTTTTTTTTGCAGATGTTTCATTAATCAAACTGGGCAACATCATCAGTGCTAGTAAGGAGTGGGGTTTGCTCTCAGCTTATATTCTACTGTCTTGCCCTGCCATTCCTTACCAGCACTGATGACATTACCTAGTTAAGATCATGAAACGTCTGCAGGAAAACCACCAAGTTCAGAGAGCACCAAGGAGCCCTCATTTCAACCCTTAGCTACGAATCTTCTCCTTTATTAGGCAGAGGAAGAGGACCTTTCCTGCCTTGCGGAATACCATCGTCCTGCCGGAGATCCGACCGGCCCCGCTCTCTGGCCTTTCGAATGATCCTGAAGACGGCTTTTTGCCAGCAGGCACGAAGACCTAGGAAGGTGGTAGACAGGGCACATCAGTTTGGCAGGATGCTGCTTGTAAAATAGCACCTTAGGCGGTTCTTTTTGAGAAGTCACCAGGGGGTCCCTTTCGCTGCTAACCTCCGGCGTGGCGGCGTTCTGAGGGGGAACCTGACAAGCACCCTAGAGGTCTCCGTCTAAAGAGTCTTCATACTGTGCCGAGTTGACGCTTCAATTGCAACTTCCCAGGCAATGTGGCGTCTTTACCGTTCAGCAGCCGACAACGGACGCCGTGACCCACTGAACGGACTTCCTGGGCTGACGCAGACAGGAGGCTACATTAGAAGCCGGCTGGGAGAAACGGGGTTTGCAAAGCGGGTCAGGCTATGGGAAGACAATGAAGCCGAAGGCGGACGAGCCTTCCATGCCTCGGTTCAGAAGCGCGGGAGGAGCGCTCAGCGCTGGCCGAGCGGATCCCGAAGCGCCCTTTGCGCTTTGAAGGGGCTCCTTATCGCGCTCCTCTCGGTGCAGAGCCCACAGTTGCCCACCAGGGGGCAGCAAAACGGGGCAGGACCCTGTGGGGAGGGGGAGGGGGAGTCGCGGAATGACCGGGGGGAAGCGGCCCTTGGGCCTCCCACGCTCCAGCCCTGCAAGCGCCAGCCCTCCTCCGCCATTCCTCTCGCGGCCCGCCGGGGAAGCAGCTGCGCGAGCAGGACGCCGGCCGCCTCCGCTCGGCCCGGGCTCCCCCGAAAAGACCCGAAGCGCCGCCAGGCCCCCTCGGCCCGCCCCCTACATCCGGGCCTCCTACCCAGCAGGCCCCGCGAAGGGCGGCTGCGTCAATACGGGGGGAGGGGTGGCGCGCAGAGAGTCTCGCGAGAACGGCGGACGGGGCTCCCGCGCCTCGGAACAGCCAGTCTGGAAGCGCGCGGGGGGAAGTCCCGCCTCTTCGGGCGGAAGCGGGCATTGTTGTGGCTGACGTCACTGGCGGAGGACGCGGGCGTCCCGTTGGGTCGCGCTCCTGGTGGCGGCGCGGCGGAGGCGGCGGAGGGCCGGCGGGCCCATGGCCAGCGCTGGCAGCCCCCTGGTAGGCCTCGCGGCGGGGCCGGCCGCCACTCGCGCGCGGGAGCGACCGACGGCGCCGGCTGCCGGGTCGGTGTGGCGGCGGCGGCGGGGCGGGCGGCTGTTCCTCAGGCCCCGCCCGGGGTGCGTGGAGCGAAGGCCCGGCCGGCGGAGGAGCTGCTTCCGCCAGGATGGGTCGGAGCGGAGCACGCCTGTGTCCCGAGCGGCGGCGGCGGCGGCGGCGGCCTTGGGCGCGCGGCTCTGCTTGCCTTGCCCTGCGGGTCTCGGCCTGCTGGCGCCCGGCATCGGCCCCGCCTTTGGCCCTCGGCCGCCCGGCCTTGCTCGGCTCCTGGCGGGGCGACGGAGGGATCCGGTCTCGGCGCCTTGCGGGCAGGAAGGGATGGGACGAGCCGGGCCGCCTTCCGGGGCTGCTCAGAAGGGTTTCGGTCCATCCCAAGAGTCGCAAGAGCGGCTGCCCTGCCCCGAGTCTAGGTGCTGGGTGGGATCAGAGGCTTTGCTGGGGCGTTTGAGGAAGGCAAGTCTCGCATTTGCAGCCTCTCTTCTTTCTAAAAAACCCCCTGGAATTCCGGGAACTGGAGCCACGAGGGGAGGGCAAAAGGGTGCTTCAGACTCTTACCAGGAGTCCGAACTAAACTCACAAGTTTAGAGCTGTGGCTCCTGTGGCATTGAAATTCGGCAAAGCTGTGGCTCTTTACTGCTGCTGCGGTCACCCTCTTCCCATTACTGTCATTTCTTGCAAGGAATATCATTGGGGGACCTGGTCAGAAATCACTCCTGCTCCCCCTACCCTTTTCCCCCACCCAGGATCATTCTGTTTAAATAAGGAAATGATAACTCATCAGGGGTTGATGACAGCCCAACTTTGTGGTGCTGAGGGTGTGCTCTGGAGTGTGGTGGGGGAGTAAGGAAGGGTTGGGCCAAGTGCATGAGAAAGGAAATGTCTCTGAAATGATGACCCAACCAGGCCACCAGTTGTCTATTTGATATTTATTTATTTTTTATTGGTTTGATTTATATGCCGCCCTTCTCCGGAGACTCAGGGCGGCTTACAATGCGTTAAACAATAGCCGTCATACTTTTGTATATACCTGCTTAGTAGGGCTTTCGCCCCCCCCCAAGCGTTGTTCTTTTTTATAAAAAGTCAGCTTATTGCCCCCACAATCCGGGTCCTCATTTTACCTACCTTGGAAGGATGGAAGGCTGAGTCAACCTTGAGCCTGGTGAGATTTGAACTTGCAGTAATTGCAGGCAGCTGGTGCTACTTAACAGCACTTTAGTCCACTGCACCACCAAGGCTCTTATAAATGTGATCACTCCTGATTTTTCATGAGCATTACTTTTAAGCAACTTCATTTGGGACAGAAAGCTTTTTAAATACAGTACAGGCAGTCCTCGACTTACAACCACAATTGAGCCCAAAATTTGTGGTGTTAAGTGGGACATTCGTTAAGTGAGTTTTGCCCCATTTTATGACTTCTTGCCACAGTTGTTAAGTGAATAGCTGCAGCTGAAAAGTGAATCTGGCTTTCCCATTGACTGCTTGTCAGAAGGTCAGAAAAGATAATCACATGACTCTGGGACACAGCAACGGTCATCAGTATGAACCTGTTGCCAAGCATCTGAATTTTGATCACATGATTATAGGCATGCTGCAAAGATCATAACTGAAAAATGATCATGTTACATTTTTCAGTGCTGTTGTAACTTCGAACGGTTATTAAGCAAACTGTTGTAAGTCGAGGACTACCTGTATTGTAATTCTTAGGAAGCCAGTAGCCATTGCTTCTGTACTGGTCTTCGCTTAGGCATATTATCGTGTCACTCAAGGGGGGTGGGGGGGTGGCAACAAGGAAGGGTTAACTCTAAGCCCTGGCTAGAAAGCAGGGCTTAAACTTTTTGTCATTTGGTGAGCTAGCTCCTTAGTTGCATGCATTATCTTTAGCTGAAAAATAGTTCAATCTAGGTATTCATACAATTGATAGTGCTGTAGTAGATAATAGCTTAGCATTAATTACAAAATACAAGCATTTCCTGCAGGTGACAGTAACAACTCTTGGGAAGACTTTTCAGGGGTTAGACTATTTCAAAAGTCAAAAATTGTCATTTATTGCTTAACGCATTGTAAGCTGCCCTGAGTCTCCGGAGAAGGGCGGCATGTAGTAAATAAATAAATAAATAATAATAAGTTTCATTTTTCGTTATCTGAAAGTTTTTGGCAAAAAAATATTTAAAATGTTATTATTATTTTATTATTATTTGGGGTTTATAGCACACTTGTCAGTATAGAGCAACTGAAGGCCATCTTTGCAGATGCCCATGTGTTTTTCCAGTCATGTTTAATGGAAGGAAATAATTCTGACCGCTTTGCTCCTGTACAAATGTCATATCAGGTAATCCCAGATGACAGGCCTTCCTTGATTGAGTAGACAGTAATTCTCCCAAATAATTGCTTAGTTTTAGTTACTGAAATGCATTCCCTGACCCATCTATTAATAGAGGAGGACATTACATATCTCCCTAGTTCATTCCATGTTCCTGTCCCAATGGATGCACTTAGTTCTTAAGCTCCTGGATATATCTAGCTTATATCAGCTATGTTGTCTTGGATGGTAAAGGATGCAACAGAAATTTAAAAGTGCTATCTCCTGTGCCTTGTGAGACTTGGAGTTAACTTTAAGAATGAAATGAGGGTCTGGTGTTAACATCAACTTATTGTGATGAGAGGCCAGACCTTCTCTTATCAATAGGAACACTTATCAGTAATTTGACAACTCATGGCTGAGATTAGCATCACTAGGAAAGCTGTTTCCAAGAGGGAGTATTGATTGGAATCTCTTTAATTCCAAAGGAGCTATTGTCAGTGCATGTGAATCTGTATTAAATCTCATGAAAGGAAACAGAGAATGCCAGAGGGGAAACGAGAGCCATACACCTGAATGGCATACATAAGGATGCCTGAAAGAGTGACTCCATTTGTCCAGAGTGATGAAGCCCAAGCGGCCTGCCTAGACAGGCTTTCATTATCGGGCCCTCCTCATCCAGTGTGACCTATTGAAATCCAAGAAGTTCTTGCTGCCCTAAGATTCCTTCTCCACCAGGTTCAGACTTTCATCATGTCAAATGCTCTGTCTTCCTTGTGCCTAGATGTCGAATAGAATAGAATAGAATAGAATAGAATAGAATAGAATAGAATAGAATAGAATAGAATTTTTTATTGGCGAAGTGTGATTGGACACACAAGGAATTTGTCTTTGATGCATATGCTCTCAGTGTACATAAAAGAAAAGATACGTTCATCAAGATAAGGTACAATACTTAATGCTAGTCATAGGGTACAAATAAGCAGTCAGGAAATAATATCAGTATAAATCGTAAGGATACAAGCAACAAGGTTACAGTTATACAGTCATAAATGGGAGGAGATGGGTGATAGGAATGATAAGATTAATAGTAATGCAGACTTAGTAACTAGTTTGACAGTGTTGAGGGAATTATTTGTTTAGCAGAGTGATGGCATTCAGGAAAAAACTGTCCTTGTGTCTAGTTGTTCTGGTGTGCAGTGTTCTATAGCGTCGTTTGAGGGTAGGAGTTGAAACAGTTTATGTCCAGGATGCGAGGGGTCTGTAGATATTTTCACAGCCCTCTTTTTGACTCCTGCAGCATACAGGTCCTCAGTGGAAGGCAGGTTGGCAGCAATTGTTTTTTCTGCAGTTCTAATTATCCTCTGAAGTCTGTGTCTGTCTTGTTGGGTTGCAGAACCAAACCAGACAGTTATAGAGTTGCAGATGACAGATGGTCTCTACCAGTGGTGGGTTGCCCCCGGTTCACACTGGTTCTATAGAACTGGTAGTAAAACCGGCAGGAGGCTCCGCCCACTGACCCTGACATCATCAAAATGCTTCTGTGCGGCCCCGTTGCGAACCAGTAGTAAAGGTAAGTAGAACCCACCCCTGGTCTCTACCATTGACTGGTAGTCCTTGGCTCAGCAAATTGGTTTGTGTTGACAGGTATTATGGAAGTTTTTGCTTACTTTGATTAATACTGCAAACCAGAAACATCTGGAACAGA